GTTACGGCATGCTTCATGAGAAGGCGTTGAAAGCATTTGGTGAACCAAATCTTGGAAGTCGCAGGATTTTCAATGATAAAATATCTACCATGTTCAATCTGGTAAAGAGCCACTCTGGCAAAAAATTCTACCATGGGAAGATACTTTTTCCTTTTCTGGTAATTATCTGTTGGATCGCTGATGTTCTGCATTTGACTCCATGGTCCACAAACAGGTGCCATGTGGATGATTTTTGGCTGTTGTCGCTCAATGACTTCCATTGCCTTTCGCCGACCTTCGGCAGTAAGCAAATCGTAACCTGTTCTCAAATCTATAGGAGCACCAACTTGAAGTCCTTGCATGGCAGCCGACTGGCTAAGCTTGGCGGAAACACTAAAAATCTCTAAGAAATCGATCTTACCTACAGTAGTTGGTTCCCAAACATAATTACCATACTGGATGCCTTCCGGACCTGTCTGAGAGGCATCATGCTGCATGATTTTATTGGCAAAGCCATCGGTTCTACATGTGGACTTCGATGTTGCTGTACAGGCATCTTTGGCCGCGTTGGCGGCACTGGCAAGTGCGGCAGGATCAAGAGGTACATCGACATCTTCGATCGGATTGTGATCTTTTCTGATCTTGCTGATGTTGACCTTCGCAATTCTTGTACCTAAGTCAACTCCTACCATACTACCATCTACTGAGACCAATTTTCCTTTAATCCATTTTCCTCCATGTGAACCGTCTGATTTGATTTTTGATTTGTCTTCGGCCCAAAAATAAACTTTGTCACCAGGAAAGAACGGTCCATCACTGAGGTGGAGTTTACTTGCAATGTCATCAGACTGTTTTGCCTCTAGAAACTTTCGCATCGCCAGCGACCTTAGTGCTTCAATCTGTCTCTCAGGAGCCGGGGCCTCGGTAGTGAGCTGCGCAGGATTCATGGGCTCAATCGCCGTGATATCGGCAGGTCTTCTTCCGAATGCTAATTCAATTGGCGTGACACCGTGTGTTACCATGGTATTCCTTGAAATGCAGGCTTTTCTCAACAACTGTTTGTAGGTAATGTTGGCAAGCAAAGGATCGTCTTTCAAGGAAATTAGCATCAATGAGACCTGTTTCTTAAACATGCGAATGGCTGCTTCAGCTCGGTTTGGCCATGGTGTACCTGGTCCTAGAGAGATTGGCCGGATGTTGTGCCTGCTATAATAGCTCTCCATTTCAGTGCCCATAAAAGCTTGATCTGCAACAATGTATTTTGGATTCAGCTGATAAGTCTCGAAGTACTCTTGAAGATGAGATATCGTCACCGGATCTGACCTGTTTTGCACTACAAAAGCAGTAGTCAATGAAGTTGCACCATCATACAAGAGTAGGAATTGAAGTTTTGACTGAGGATTGATAGGAACTTCTCCGTGATCAAGGAAAGTAAGTTCACCAAAAACCTCGCTTCGAATTCCTGAAACCTTAGCTCTCGAGGGTGCAATTTTGGCCTTGAAACAGGTGTCACATGATTTGGTAATCTGATCAAACTTGTCATAAATTTCCTTTTGGCAACTTCAGAGCTGATGTTCTTCTCTTGAATTGTTCGGTTGTCATGTGATAATGCTTCAAATGTAATTTGAGAAGTTCAGTTGGTGATTGAAGCTTATCATGAATTCTCTGAAGTGCAAGTGACAATGTTCCCTTAGGTGACGGTTCCTTCTTTTCTTCAAGTTTTACCTCAGCCTTTGGTTCTGGTTTGATTTCGGTCTCTTCTTCAATCTGAGGTTCCCGACGTCTGGGGACTCCGTCCTTTGAACCGGAACTTGGTCCAGAGGCCATCATGGCTCATCATCAGGATCAAAAGGCTGACTCGGTACTTCTAACTTGCTATCAGGCTGAATGAACTTCTTGACATTTTTCTTGGAATCAGACTTGGCCGGTTTCGGCACTTGACTTATGTTCTGATCCCTTGAACTTCTTGCAACCTTCTTTGTTTGTGTGTGGACGATGTTTACCGTTACATCCTGGGCATGTGATGTCTTCGGACTGAAAGCTGTACATCGGTTTCCAACTTGAAGTTGCAAGAGCCGTAATGTCAAGGACTGGATGGTTGGATGTGCTGACCGCCAAGGCGGCGCGTTGCATTCCGAAAAGTGGACACATCAAAAACTCACCTACAGGAGTGTGTTCAATATTCATGCGAAGGTTCCGCATTTGCTCAACTGAAAAGAGGATGGAAACCTTACCTTTGTCCGGAATGTCAACGCATGTTGTGACCCAACCAGTCTGTGCACGATCATTGCGAAAGTGAATCGCTAATCTTTCCTTAACTGTAGATTGTTCTCCATTCGCAAATGAAAACTTCCTTGAACACGGTTGCTTGGAAAACCAGATGTGATCACGCTTCGGATGCTGCTGGCAGGCCTGTACAAGGCGGTCAATGGCAAAGCGGGATCCCATAGCTCTGGTACAACCTGAGTCAAGAATAACATAATAAGTCGGATGAGAACCAAGATCTACATACTCACAAAGTAATGCTTGTTGGGCACCATGATCATAATTGAGAAATACACACTCTCCCGCGGAGACGGAATTGAGCGGGCATGTGCACTGTCGGAACGAATGCAGGTCACCAGATTCGGTAGAAACACTGTCCTCAACATGGCGGATGCTCTTAAACAAAGACCTGTTCAAATCTGCAAAGCACTGGTACATCAGAGACACGAACAGAAGCACGAATGCGAAGGCTTCTACAAGTTCGTGTCCGAGAAATCGGAACAAGCAAAAGGCCGAAAAACAGAACCGGTTGATCTGGGCCGTCTGTCCGTCCTCAGAAATGACGTCTGAACTTTCTGAATGCTTGTCCTCGGATTCGGTCAGTTCCTCAGTGGAAGCAAAGTAAGACCAATTGTACCAATCACCTTGGGAGTAATCTCCATCATATCCATAATAGGATTCACATCCTGACCAGTCACGTGTCCAATAGGTGTCATAGTCATAACTCCAGCTTTCTTCGGCATGGGCTGTTTCTTGTTTTTCGGGGGCTTGTGAGGCATTAGAAGATGTTGTCTGTGCAATGTTTGCTTGTGGAGGCTGTTGTTGTTGAAATGGCTTACCTCCTTTGCTCTTTCCATCTCCTTTGCCCTTGCCCTTCCATGAAGGCATTCCTTTGAAAGAATCCTTACCTTTCATTCCTTTCTTGCCCTTTTTGCCTTTTCCTTTGCCTTTTCCCCAGAAAGCTGTGTCTTGCTGGTCATCTTCCCATGCTGCATAACCTTTTCCTTTTGACCTCGGACGGAAGCCGGGTCTTGATCTTTATCCTCCTTTCTTTCCAGAACCTTTTGGTTTACCTTTCTTGAAGGACCGGCCGTAGATACGGCGCTTGGAGTATGAACCCTTAGCGCCTAGAACCCAGAACTCGTTCTCTGTATACAGACCTGTGAAACCTTCTTCACCTGTCTCTTCATCCAAGACCCAGAATCCGTACTCACCCTCTTCGGTCTCGCCTTCCTCAATGACGTAGAAGTGGACCGCTTGCGGTGCGTGATGTTTGGGTCTGCAACACCTGTGCGAGAAACGGCAAAAAGTTCTAAGAACAGCTGTTTCACTTGGAGATAGGTATACTGAGGCATTGCTATCTGACGGATGTTCATGGACGAGACAAAACGCTCTCGTTGTTGCTCGTTGAGGTCTGCTTGGACTAAGAAAATCAGTGACATCAAATTGTCTGACAATGGAAACTGTGCGGCATGTCTGGTCCTTCTGTTTGTGATGGTTTGTTCACGAAGCTCTTGTTGATATGCAAGCTTATCTTCATCTGTTACTATGCCGTTATAGTATATTATAGTGCAGTCTTTGCTCATCGGTGAGTGCTGCCTAAATGCCTGAGTGCCTGCTTCCGGGAGATCGGATAAGTCTAGCAGGTCGGACCAAGAAGCCAACAAACGCTTCTGAGCGATTTCGAAACGCCCAATCCAGTGCACGAATTCACTCTGGCCTCGATATGTGCGAAACATCCGGAGGAATCGCCAAAGAAACACATGATTTACTCCCTTCACGAAGTAAGGTCTCAATGTGTCCTTGAAATGAGCGAGGCCACCATCCGGATCTCGGAGTAGGGCATTATCGAGCATCGACTTATAAAAAGAAGCGGAACCAATGAGGGCATTCTTTAATGATGGTCCGTGCTTATCTGCATCCAATGTTGTGATCCCGAGCCAGTCATCAATTACATCTTCATATTCAAACCAGCTAGATTGGCCATCAAATTGGGGTGGAACCTATGGAGTCATTTTGATGCCCATCCGGTTTTCGGAATGACTGGCAGCGGCATATGCTTCAGGCTCTTCATAAGCAACCATGTGGAGTTGTTTTTCATCTGAATCCATGTTGTGGCTTAAGACCATGGCAGCTACTCGAATTAGACCTACAAGTTGCCTTCACAAGTCCGACATACGGAATGAGCGCAAAGAACAACAATTCGGCACACGGGATCGGAACTTGGCGAAGGCACAGTCTCCGCTACCACTTTGAGGTAGCTATCCCCGTATTGAGGGAGCCCTGGAATCTACAAGAACCCTTGTGGTCTGCAAGCGCAAGCTGCGCTCTTTTTCTACGCGGTTAAGCAGTAATCTTGAGCCAGCGAAGTGGTGCAGTGGAAATAATGAATTATGTGAACACGTCATGTACTACATGCAAACTGTCATGCATGCATTGTGTAGACACGTCCCCAAAAGTGGTTTACAGGGGGATCGAACCAGGGGGGGTTAATTGGAAAGTTTCAAGGTTTCCAATGGTCCTGCTCCCTGCCTATTCCTTGCTAAAGCAAGAGCAACTTCAGCTAGCACAGCTAGCTTTCGTGACAATACAATACAATACAATACATTACATTACATTACATTACATTAAATTACATACATACCATACCATACCATACCATACCATTGCATTGCATTGCATTGCATTACATTACATTACATACATACAGACAATACAACTATACACATGTGACATATAAAAGTAATGCAGGCCACCTCTCTCGGAGGGCTCCTCTTTCCTTTCGTTCCAGCTCCTTAACTCAACAAATACCAAAATCGGACAAATAGAGTCAAAGGAAATCAACTAAACATCTCATGAATCGTGACACAGCTCCTCAGCTTCTCTATCTTCTCCAGATAGTTTATCGAAAATCTTCCTGAATGGGAAAATGAAGCCACAAGTGGATTCTACAAACACTATCAGTCATCACTCTCGTCACACTCCTCAAACACAAGTCCAAGTTAGAATCCCCTGGACCGAGAACTTGCCCTTTGAAAAGCCATCTCCTGAAGTTTTTCTTCTGATCCCTGCATTGCTTGTTCCACTCACGCCCAACCTGATATCAACTCGTTGACGAAAACGGGGGTTGCATTGCCAATTGCTTTGACAGGTGTAAACCAAACCACCAAAACCGTCTGCTCTTGCAGCATCAAGAGATATCAAGAGCAAGTCTGTCTGCATTTGCAAAAGGTATGGATGTAGAAGTACCAGCAGTACCATGCCAACTTGCACATGACAAACAGCAACCCCTGGAATCTACGCTTGTCAGGCTCTAGGGCTCGGATCTTGCAGCGTTTTATGGCCCCCTTGATTTGAAATCTGAAACCAAAAGCAGCAGCGACAGTCCACAAAGCCCACCTCCTGCTGCATTTGTTTTGCAGCCGCATGGCTCGGTTCTACCTCTCCAAGATGCTCCATGATTCTCCAACCCAAAAAGAACGTCTCGCGGTGATGTTACAGTCATGCCACAGGCCAAGTGATGAACACATCCTAAAGGCATCTATACCCTCTATAGTGATCTATAGAGTCTGTACCTTTGCATCCCGTACGTAAGAACAAATGAGATAGTATAATATCATACAATATAGTATGGTATAAATATATATATATATAGTATAATATAATGTAATATAATATAATATAGTACAATATAGTATCATATAGTAAAGTATAGTAGAAAGAATATTATATCATATCATATTATAATATTTTATCTTATTTTAATTTAACTATAAAATAATATTTATAACATATAACTTAAAACATAATATAATACAATATAATATAATATAATATAATAATATAATGTACTATAATGTCATTTAACATAACACAACATAACATAACATGACATAACATAACATAACATATCCCGACACGCTCGGCCTCGAGCAAGTCTTTTAGCGTTGCCAGGCAGTCATCAAGCCTCACGTCAAAAGACTTCACCACTACCGCGACCTACCACGACCTATCGCTATCTGACTTTTGCCATCCCTTGCTGCTCAGTGTTTGAGTTGTTACGCTCCAGCCCTCTTGGAACGAGACTTAGCTTTTGATGCTTTTTGGCCATTTGCTCCAACTTCAATCATCACGAAACGCAACATGGCACAGAATCCCTGAGATCCAAATGGAAACAACATGATATGATCGGCCAAAACCTTCTCATAGAACGCTGAGCGCTGGCTTTTCGATACAAAGCCTCAGGCATGATGTCAATGGGAACAAGCTGCCCCTTTTGAAACTGAATGGAGCTCATTGTGCCTGCCTTGGTGATGAGATGTGAAGGCAACGCCTGACATGTGCTTCAGTGAACTTAAGTGCGCTTTTTGATGCTTTGAATGTGCAGAGCTTTGCTGAGAGGTTCTAATTTCCTGGCCTCGCGCCGGGCCAAAGCTTTGTCAACACATCTGATCGGCACGGAGGCGCATGTCAAGAGTTTCATGTTTGCAATGCATTGACTACACTGCAAGTTGGCGCAATCCATGATAGACTCCCAGCTTAAACACCTCCTGAATAGAGTAGACTCTATCTTGCACACGGTGGCAAGATGAAGACCGTCAGGCAGCTGCTTTGGCACGAAATACACACAAGCTCTTTGAGCGGTATGTTCTTTTGCTGAAGCTGACTTTTGGGCCTGTCCGCGGCTTGATAGTCCTCTTTTTTCATGTAAGCCATGGCCTGTGAATCTCAAAAGTTTATACGACATCCTTCTTGGTAGCTCCATTTCTTGCCCGTGAACAAATGCGTCACGTTTTCTTTCAACAACTCAGGCACGGGCAATGTTCAGATTCAGTGTCAAGTCCAGTTCAGAAAGGGACCTGGGCCAGTGGTCTGTAGAGGTATGTGGCCCTTAGAACACAAGCAGCACGTTGCAACACGTTCAAAGTTGGAGGTCCAGGCTGATTTGACAGAGCTTCTGGCCCCGAGCCTTGAACGACATGAGGCGTGCTAGGCGTGCTTTGGTCTCCGTATGTCTCTGTGCCACGTTTCATCCCACGTTTCATCCCACGTTTCAGTTCCTTTACGCCAGTTGTGTTTCTAGTTTCGCGTCTTGATCGTCCGGGGCGTTTTGTTTGCTGAATGAGATATTGAGAAAAGAAGCAGAATGGAAACGCTTTCCGAGCGTTCTAAGCATCTTTGTTCTATCCGAGGATACACCATGGGACCGGGAAGATGCTTGTACACATCCCTGCACGAGGCTGCGGCACAAGGATCCCAAGATGTGCTTCAAACCACCTGGCGAGAAAATGCAGCGAAATACTTTGAAACATTCGCACTCTGTTGGCATTTTGCATGCAAGCCGCTAGTTCGTTGGTCACTGGGTTCCCGTCGCACTCCAGAATCTGAGTTGTAGACCTTGCCAATATTTGATCGCCTTGTCGTACTTCCCATCTTGGAAAGCCTGCAAGGCCCCCGCAGATTTCCAAGACCAACTTGGCCCATTCATGTCCAGCGATGTCCAGCCTGTTTTCCTTTTTCTCGGGCTTCATCAGGTTCCAGCTTTGGGATCCTGGCCATGTTACTCATGCTCTGCGCTTCTGGCCGCCTCCTTCAGCTTGTATGTACCCCATCTCAGGGGTGAATGCACGACCCCCACATGAACAAAGCCCAAGCCCCATATGTGAGTTTTTTGCTTCTGGTTTCAAATTTATGGTGTTTCTTGTGGTCCTGCTAGGCTCTATGTTTCTGTTGCTTTGTGGGGGTAGGGTTTTGATTGGGACTAGTTTAGTGGCTAGACTCTAAACAAATAAAAAGCACTTGGCGCGTCCGCAGGCCCCCTATCCACCGACATCTGGAATATGGATATGAGATAAGACGCCTATGTGAAATTCAATAAAATGCATTGAAATGCCAAATAAAACGCATCAAGATATCGAGCAGGACAGAGACTTATGATTACTCTACAGGTGTTATCGTAGCAGGTTTGGAAAGCAGTGCATGCAAACGCTTTATGTGTGAAACTCAGCGTTTGACCCAAATTGCAAATTATGCCAACAACCTTCATTTGTCAGGCTAAGCCTTGGCACAGCAATGCCGTATTCGAGCCTCAATAGTTCTTCAGTGTTCTTCATACATATGATTCTGTACAATCGGAAGCTTGGATGCGAACATGCAATCGCCACTTGCCCGATGGCTCTAGGTGAAAGCCTCACGATCTGTCATGACCTACGGGGGCTACTTGCACTCGGAAAAGGTGATCTTTGGTCGTGGTTGTCCCCTTGAGTTTTACAGTGGTATGTAGCGGAGCCCGGTACCCCCGGGCCTTTTTGGGGTGTTTTTGGGGAATCACCTTTTCTTAGTGGAAGTGGCCCCCTTGGGTCAAAAGGGGCGACAACATGTCGCAAACTGCGGTGCCTGTGCCGGGGTCTTCTGGGGAAGACGATTCCAGGGCCAAACCAGCTAGGGCTGATGACTTCTTCAGTCCATCAGGCCGACGAGCTGGCTGTTCTGAGGGACAACAGTTCCGCCTTTTTCAGCAGTTCCTGCGACAGCAGGAGATTCGTTTAGCACGACGGGACCATCGTCGTGAAGACAGTGATGAAGATCGGGGGCACGAGGCGCGAGTGCCGGACCTCCACCGGAGTGGCATGGCCCTACTTGGGGGACGACCTTTGAAGATTGGCTCATTAGAGCCCGGCTATGGTTGGCGACAACAAAGGCCAAGCCACGAGCCCGTGGACCCATGCTTTTGAAAGCACTTCATAAACCACCATTCGAGCACTTCAAGTATCTTGCCAGAGATTCCCAATGGGTAGATTCTGAGACCAATGCTGATGATTTGCTGAGAATGATAGATACCCCAGAGTACTAGGGGGACGACAAGGAGGAGCACCTTTTGGCCTCCCCGTCAGAGGGGCAAATCAGAGAACTGGCAAGAGGTCTTTGAGAGATGGGAGACTGCCCTGTGTAAGGTGAGAGTGCATAGCATCACCCTGCCAGAGGCCTACCTGGGTTTCTTGTTCATCAATGGGCTCAAGCTGGAGGAGAACGAGGTGAAGGCGATGTTGAACTACACTCGTGGAGATATATCAAACCAAGCTCCATCAAATCGTGGCTTCGAAAGAACGAGACCAAGCTCACCATCAGCCAGCTTGGTGCGGATGCAGTGCGGCGATCTACAACGACGAGCTCCTCTACTTCGATCATGTACACCGAGAACAAGGACCCGATTGTCGAGCACGAGACGATTGACGACCTCTTCGACCAGGAGACTGAGGAGCATGTCTTGTCTGAACTCAAGGACGATGGCGATGATCCTCAGCTACCAGAGGAGTTGAGCGAGGGAGAGGCAGCAGAGATTTTGCGCACCATGATCTCTCAGAGGAGAACCTATACACAGTCCATGAGGCAGAAGAAGCAGGCAGAGCTGTTGCGTGGCTATGGCAAACCATTCGAGAGTCGCAACACGGGCATTCCTCAGTCAGCCTTTCGACCTGGAAGGTATCAGATCACCGTCGGGGATTTGAAGAAGCCCACGAGGTGCAATCTATGCCATGAGAAGGGTCATTGGAAACGAGAGAGCCCCAAGAAGAAGGACCAGACGGCGACTTCTTCGGATACTCACTATCTCGAGAACAACAAGTTCGGCAGCAACGAGGAGGCCTTCTTCTGTGGCCTACTGGAAAGCCCTATCAGCTGAACAGTTCACAATGGGAAGCTCAATTGGCAGCCATTCCATACATAGCTGTCACAGACTCCCGATCCCTCTACGACTGTATGAACAAGCTGGTGTGTTCCTACACACAAACTGAGGATAAACGAACAGCCATTGACATTGCCATCCTCAAGGACGACCTGAAGAAGTCCGGTGGCCATGCTCGTTGGGTGGCTGGCAACAATATGGTTGCCGATGCACTGACCAAACGGATGAGGGGAGATTTTCTTAGAGCTGTTTGTAACAAGGGTAAATGGACTCTTACTCACCATGGAAACCAGTTGCTCCGATCTGATTTTGAAATTTTGTTGGCATTTGCAGTAGCCTAACAAAGGCGTTCACATCCAACATAAAGTGTTGGCGGTGTACAGTTGGAAGCTTGGATGTGAACATGCAATCGCCACTTGCCCGACGGCTCTAGGTGAAAGCCTTAGGATCTGTCATGACCTACGGGGGCTACTTGCACTCGGAAAAGGTGATCTTTGGTCGTGGTTGTCCCCTTGAGTTTTACAGATTCATATGCCTTTCATGCTTGCATCAGTATTACATTGTACCTACAGTACATCTACGAGTACATGATTACATGTACTTACTCTCAATGAATCTAGGCAAGGCAAAATGCAAAGACATGTGCCACAATGTTTTGGCTCACTGAAAATGAGCGCTGATTTGGCTACTGTTTTGCACAAGCCACCATAAGCCCCTGAAATGCAGTTTCGACAAATCAGAACCAGTTGTTTCCCACTTTAAAACCTCATCAAGGCAGATACTCACAGTGCCTGTCTCTTACCTGTTATCAATCAGCAATCCCTTTAAAAAATCAACTACGGTATCATCAGGCACCCCAACCGTCTCTGAGCCTGCCAAACAAATCTTCCTCTTCTTCTCCAGATTCATCATCCTCTTTTATGATGTCATAGCCCTGTCAGCATCAGCGTCCAATCACATGTGACCAAGCTTCTGCAGACTGAGAATTACTCCCCTACTACAACTCAAATTTGATCTCCAAAAAAGAATGTCCTTTGGCGGAAACTTTGCAGTTTAACATTGCTACGCCTTCTCAGCGAGTGCAGACTGAACGTTGGTGTACCCGCCTAGCGGCAAAAATATCAAGAAGCTGAAATCATGGTAGGCAAATGAACGAAGATTTGCGACACTACTCTGCAGCAACATCGTCAGCTGTTTCACTGTTGAAAAAAATGAGATTGCACCCAAGCCTTCTGTCATGTTCCAAACAAGAGTTTGAGAGGACAAAGCAAAAGATTTGGCATGCTGACTGTCATTATATCGGTTGGGGGCAATCTTTGAACATCAACGTGCTAACCCTTCATTTTTTAGGCCAATTTGGAAGTTAAAGGCTGTAGTGCGATTCAAGGGATGAATGCCAGATGTTCTTTTTAGGTAAGCGCTGCAAAGCCAAACACTGCCATGCCAAGTGCGTCTCACCAAACCCTGTCAGCCCTAGCTCACACGGGAGTGGCGATAGGGAAACGCTTTTGCACCTGCTCCATTGCCCCATATCAAGTGTATGTAAACATGTATGCATATATATATATATGTGTGTGTATATGTGTATATATATATGTATATACTATATAAATATATACGTCTATACTATATATACGTATATACACATATAGACACAGATAGACACATACAACACGTATAGAAACATCTAGACACATATAAATTATAAACACATATACTGTAGACATAGACCCATAAAGATGCATATAGAAACCTCTAGACACATATAAATACACATAGACCCATATGTACAGATGTAGAGATATATGGACACAAAGACAAACATATATGCACATATGGACTCATATAGACCCATATGTAGACATGTGGAAACACATGGACACAAAGAGAGACATAGACGCATATGCCACATATGGACACATACATATCTATATATATATACATGCACATACGTATAGATATGTACCCATATGCACACATATCTGTATATATCTTTATGTTTGCCCATATATACCCACATATGTAGGCATGTACACATAAATAAATATATACACATACTGTATCTGTATGTGGGCTGTGCCTTATGCATCGTTTCTTGTGCTGTACATATGGAGAGAGAGGTAGAGACAGAAAGAAAGAAAGAAAGAAAGAAATAGCAGGCTTCTGTATAGTAAGTCTACATATTTGATATATCATACAATATCAAAGTATAGAGGGGCGTGCTTTTGCAGCTTCCAATCTAGCCCTGCTGAGTCAGAGATTCTTTGATCTGATCTGAAAAAGCGGCGATGGGTGCAATTTACGCACCCACAGCAGAGCCATCGCATCAGGGAGCAGAGCTAGTGGAGACGCTAAGGCGATGACCAAGATTGGGGTTGCATTGCTGAAGATCCAACCAGGCACCGGTGGATCGCCTGCAAGATTTGGCTGCATCCGCTGGCCCAATGGCACATATCCCAAAAGGAAGAGAACAATGATATAGGAAGCAATACTTCCAATGATTGGGAGCAGGCAGCTCAGACTGCAACGCTTGAAATCGTGCAGAGCAAGCTTCAGAGCCACAATGACGATCACCATTGTGAAAGAAGTTGCCGACGCACGCCAAAAATCAACAGCTTCGTAGTCGAAGCTTCCGAATAGAAAGTTTGGCAAAATCCAAGCCAAGGATCCCTGAAAAGCTGCGCTCGTCATCCACAAAGCAAAAAGGCGTATGTTGAACCATTCACGTTTGATGCCTTCCGTGTAGATTCTGGGCTGTGCATTGGAGATAGAATCCGGTATATCTTGATCAAAAGCCAGAACGATTATCACTGGCCACCATGTGAAGACCGCGTTGAAGGAGGTTGACAACCACTCAGGATATGCAACTTCACCGGAGAATGAGTTCTGGTGAGCCCAAATAAAGTCACCAAAAGCAAGAGCCACATTTTTGTAGAAATAGTAACACAAAAAACTTGCAACCCGTCTGTAAGCCCTTCGCCCGTGGCACAGCAAGAGTGGAACCAAGAATGCAAACCTTAGGACAACCGCAAATCACTGAGGTCTTTGGCTGCGAGGCAAGCTATTGGTTTTCAGCAGTGCTGCCACACACACACACACTTGCTCAGACCTGTCATTGCGAATTGTGTTGTGGAATGCATCTGACGTGCAAAAACACCAACAATTAAATGACATGATGAATATACATATATATATATATATTAATATAGACAGACGCATAATCACAGGAGAAGACAATGACGATATAAACCAACAGCGATAAAATATAGGTCCCCCCAGCTGCGACTTAAATGCGCCCAGGGGCGGGACTATACATATAAATATAGCTGCAGGTACAGGAAACCGGCCACGTTTCCCTTCCCACTCATGTCCACAGCTTCGTTGCGTGTGGTAGGACATGAGTGCCACACGCCCCTGCAAAATAAAGAAGTTTTACATCTCTACAGATGGTACAGACACCTGCCCCGCAGCAGCGGGGCAGTTGATGAACGGAAAATGAGAGTGAGATGAGAATGAAAATGAGATGACAGCTACCTAAAAGGGACACAAGACGGGGAGCGCAAAAGAAGAAAGGAAAAATGAGAAAACACCAACACAACAACACACCTAGCCCAGAGCGGGCAAACCCTGAAAGGGCAAGGGAAAAGAAAAAACGGACGGACCAACATCGACCAGAGGAGGGGGGGGCGGACGGAAGCGCCTGACACAACCTACAAGGCGAGAGCCAAACCTACCTCGGCAGTCGAAAGACCCAAACCTGACCTAACACAGGAGCACGCATGAAATAGGGGACCCATGGGCAACAAGTTAGTGAGAAATGATGCATCCACAAACAAGTGCAAGAAATCGTGATAAGGCTCAAGGCCCTCGGTGATCAGTTCAACCCCGTAGACGGCTTACTCATTCAACCCTCAAATTGGTGCACAACTGAACCGTACCAACGACCATAAAAAGAAAGAATCACCATACCTGCAAGCATGTCCTGATACCTGAATGTCAGGAAAAAGGTGAGGCCCAGAACAGCGGCACGTTGTTTCAACACTCACTCGACAGATAGGTGAAAAGCTGAAAAAAGGCCATCTGATTCACTTTACTTAAACAAACTACTAGATTAAAATTGTACATTCAAAGAAAAAGGTGAGGCCCGGCACGGCGGCCAACTTAATCGACCGATGGGTGAAAAGCTGAAAAAAGGCCAACTGTTTCACTTTACTTAGACGAATTACGAAGTTAAAAGTGTAAATTCAGAGGTCGAGTCGAAGGATCAAAAACCTTACCTAGAAAGGTATTCCTCGAAGGGTTCATGCCACCTTGACGAACCGGCATGAGGCACACACTTGCTCAGAACTGTCAGAGCGAATTCTGATGTGGAATGCATCTGACGTGCAAAAACAGCAACAATTAAATGACATGATGAATATACATATATATATATATTAATATAGACAGACGCATAATTAATCACAGGAGAAGACAATGACGATATAAACCAACAGCGATAAAATATAGGTCCACCCAGCTGCGACTTAAATGCGCCCAGGGGCGGGATTATACATATAAATATAGCTGCAGGTACAGGAAACCGGCCACGTTTCCCTTCCCACTCATGTCCACAGCTTCGTTGCGTGTGGTAGGACATGAGTGCCACACGCCCCTAAGAAGTTTTACATCTCTACAGATGGTACACGCACACATACACAAGAAATGCCGGACCAATGATAAATTACCGTGGAGTCGCACGGTGTGTATGTGTGTGTGTATATGTGCGTGTTCACCGAATCCGAGTGCTGGAACCATGGATTTGAAAAAAAATGTTTGTCCCGTGATTCTGCCCCGGTGCCTCCTTAGCTCTATTTTTAACGCCTTGTTCACCAAACACTTCTACAGCAAATCGGTGCAAGGTAGAATCTAAGTTTGTTCATGTTTGTTCCAAGGTGACTTCCCCCTACTGACTCGAAATCTATATGATCTACAGCGTGGCCATGGTGGCGGTGGTGGCAGTGGCCATGGTGCTCATGGTGCTCATGGTGGTGATGGTGGTGACGGTCTCTTCATTGGTGTTTTTGTCGTTGCCATCACTATCATCACTGTGACTGGTGTGCGGCTGTTTCTTTCGTCAATGTTGTGCCTTGAGGGCCTTGAAATACATTCGGGGTCAATCTTCTTGCCTCCTCGCACCTTACCTCCCCTTTGCTGTACCCTGGTTCCGCTCCTCCAGAATCCGCCCACACCCCAACTTAGCCTTAGGATTCTTAAACTCTCCAGAATCTCAGCCCAAAATCGGACCGATTCCAATTTCTGTGCTGGACAAAAATGCGCCCGGATTTTTTACAGTGTTTTCACACATCACAAAATTGAAAAACGTCCACCGTGTTGCCTGGAAAACCTCGAAGACATGCATGTTTTGAAAAATTGCATTCAAAATAGTAAAGAATCACATTTTTTGCAATCTCGCACAGGCACCAAACATGTGCTTCCCACATGTGAAGGCACAAAAAATGCTAATTGCCAATTGTTGTAACTTACTTGTTTCTAGGGCTCGCCTTTCAAAAACACTGCCCCTGTTTGGTGCATCTCTGCCTTCTTAAAGAAAAAAATATTTACTCACTGCGTGTTTCACGCTTTCAAACCTCAACAAAACCAGACCATGTTTTTCAAAAACATTCTGTAATTATTTATAAATGTAGAAAGAGAGAGTGCTCTGTTTCTTTCAAGCAAAACATTGCTGATTGCCACAGTTGACAAGGTGAAAATGTTGCAGCTAGTAATGGTTTTGAAGGTGGGAACGCAGGAAACATGACAAATACCAAAGCTTTCTTGAGCAACCTTCAGTGACATTGAAGACTAAAGCGTTCAGTTTCATAGGCATTCACACTTTTTTTGCAAGCAACTGTATTTTGCCCTCATCCACTGTGCAAGTGTATGGAAAATAGTGGCGTCTTTTGCAGACCTCTTTCTGTTACTTTGCTTCTGCTCCTCTCTGCCAAGTTTCGCTTTTCAAGCTTTTGTGCTGTTTCATAATGATCTTGAATACCTTGAATACTGTGAACAATTTGAAGAAACTTACTCATATACTCCTTCGAAATTATCAACTCTCATGTCTGGGCGTCACCTGCGCACTAAGCACCATGAAGTACTTTCTCCATGCGTACTCTATCTTGTGTCAGAGTGTTATGTTCCGCATCTGAGGGCAGGGCTGAGATATGGCAATGTCACTAGCTTGAACAGCTTGGGAGCCCTCCTTGCCCCGAAGGCCAATACCTACATGGGCTCCAAGAATCATCGGTACGTCATTGGCTCCATCTCCAATTGCCAAGGTGATGGAAGAGCCTCGCTTGCGGACTTCATCGACAAGCCGACGCTTTTGTGACGGTGAGAATCTGGTGCAAACGCAGCTTGTGCTCGACATTGCTAGCTTGTAAAATGTCGTTGAGCTGTCGTGGTCTTCAAGGATAAATTGCAAGGTGCGGCCATCAATTACCAAACCGCAGTTGCTATCCCCTTTGATACTCTTCTCAGCTGTGGCAAGCCTTTCTGAAGCAGCAGCCACATCAGCAGAATTGGTCAAGAAAATGAGTTCCATGCCTTGTGAGAAGAGGTTGCATGAGTAAGCGATATCCACAGCTGTTTCGGTCTTATCACCTGTAAGAACCCACAAGCGTATGCCTGCATCCTTGAGTCTTGCGATTGCGGTTGGAACACCCTCTTGCAATCGGTCCTCCACTGCTGAAATGCCCACGAGCTGCAAATCCTTCTCAATCATAGCACCGCACTCAGCAAGTCGCTCAGTACGACTTTCAAGAGATCCCTTTGCTGTCAACCATTGGCTTTCCCACGAAGCAAATGCGGAAGGATCAACTGTTTTGGAAGCAACCACAAGGGTCCGAAGACCCATTTCGGAGAAGAAGCGCAAGTGGTCTTCTTCCTTGGCACCAAGCTTGCTTGTCAGCACCGTAGCCAAAGCGATGTCTGCACCTTTGGTGATACAATGAATCACACCTTCGTGCTGACATAGAACAGACATCCTCTTCCTCTCAGCTGAAAATTCAATGGTGTGTAGAACAACAAAAACATGGTCCGTTACTCGGCCCTTTCCACGGTTTTCTCCACTTCCAATACTTGGAGCGCAGACCACAATCTCTTCTTTTTGAAGTTCGGTCTTCCTTCGACTCTTCAAGGACACCCCAACAGAATTTGCCCCTTCAACTAGGGCCACCTCATCAGGTGACGGTCCCGAGTATTGCATGTCTTTCGAGTTCACCTGTACTGTGTGGCAAACAGAAATGCAAATGAAGAACCACAACACATTCTGAGCGAAGCTTTGCTCGCTTGGTTCGCTTGGCTCACCCAGGATGTCTTTGACCTGAAGTTGGCCGAGAACTGGTCCTCCCAGTGGGTCCGCGATAAAGGGACCAAAAACCACGTCTCCCACTGCACAGCGGGCAAAGCGCATCTCATTGGCTGTCAGCGTACCCGTCTTATCAGAAAAGATAAAATCTATCTGACCAAGTTCCTCCACCAAATCTGCTGTTCGAGCTTTTGCCCCAATGCCTGCCTTGTCAACCATTTGTTGATCACTGTCAATAAAGCGCCCAAGTATCAATTTGAGGACTTCGAACGCAACGTAGAGTGAAATTGGAACAACATGGTACAGCGTGATTGTATAAGCAAGAAAGCGCTCCGGCCAATTCGTGTGGACAGACATGCTTTTCGCAGCTGTCGCCAAATAGCAACATGTAAGGATCAAAAAGGCCAAAAGTCCATAGACACATCGGTTCAAAAGAGCTTGCATGTTGGAAACCTTTCCAGAAACCTTTGCGGAGTTTAAACACTGCTTGGTGTGTATACCTGTATATGCTGCGATTGAAAGCAACCAAGATGTATTTCTCAACACACACCCACGTGGTGCAAAGCTATCGCAAGCCGCATAGTCAATGCTGCCTACATCTTCTGTACCAGCGAAAGACACTAATGCATTCATCTCTGCAAGATCTGCACATGGGGTTGCCAAACGAACATGCAGCTGCTGTCTGCAAACTTCGGATACAAGGGAAGCCAATTCTGATGGAACAGCACTCAAACTCGCTCCCTCATTCTTCATCTGGAGGGAGCTGAAAACTTTCGGAGCTGTCCGCAGCTTGAGATTTGTCTCGCCGTCCAGATTGACAGTTGAGACAAAGGCATGCCCATCTGCAGCAGACAACACCAGCAAATCTGCAGGGAAAGCTTCATCGCATAGAGTGCACACAAAGTCACCTGGTTTTACAAGTCGCCATGCAATTAGCTCAAACTCTTTCAGTTCCCAATTAAAGCGCCAACAGCTTCTTGCGTTCTCCATGCGATTATCCTTTCTTCGTTGCATGTCTTCGTACAGGTCTTTCAGGGCGGTCCATGCCAATACCAACAAGTAAGGAAAGACTTTGCTCTGCCACCGTTTGGTTGAGAAAGGCATGCAAACAATAACTGCTATGAATAAAAAATAGATATTGGCAACCCGCTGAAACTGCAAAAATAGGGACTTGGGAAGCCAAGTCAGGACAGTGAAACGAGTGGTTGAAACACGATTCGGCTCACCCTTGACGAGGCCAGCTGGCTCGACTTCAACTCCATTTACTTCGACTCGGTATCTGAATTCACTGAAGCTCCTTCGCAAATCATGGTGTGAAAGAGTAGAAAACTGATAAAACTGGGAAGTGAAATCCGGTTGACATGAAGATGCGTGAAGGTTGACGAGGGATGGCGAGAGTCACTTCACACGCGCGGTATGGTGTAGTATGGTGCAGTATGGTTCAGTCCTCTGCCCAAGAGAATGACCCTGCTTCATCTCGACAAAGCCATCACAGAGACCACTATGCAAAGAAAGGGAAAAGACAAGTGAATGACACTTACTAATATTCCCAGGATGTAGGTGAAGTATACGTGATGGATCATATGACACTGCTTGCCTCATTGTGCGGACGTGTTGGAAATTGATATATATTTCTGTGCAGGCTGCAGGGCTGCTTGGAACTATATCGTACAGTAGATGGATGTAGGAGGTTCGCTGAATGTTGTTGCACTCAAATTCTGTGTGGTTGCCCCAGGTTGCAGTAAGAGTGCATCTTGACCTCTGATCACTCTAGTCTCAATCTCAGCTAGTAGATCCAGGTCGAAAGCAAACCGGGACAGGATATCAGTAAAAAGCAAGTAAGCGATGCAAACCAAACGCATGCATGCCGCATGCTTCATTCCCAGCACAAAGTGCAACTCCCGCTGATTTTCGTCTGCAAATGCATGTACATCTTAGTGATCCATGACAGTCTCGATAACCTCAAGCAACAGTTCGTGCGTGGGTAGAGTCTTCAAAAAAACACAGCAAACCGTTCAGAAAACTATCAGCAATACAAAGATGATTAAAGATGTTTGAAATTGGCATGACGGTCGGAAGCTGTGACACTCTTCTAGGGCAATCACTGCTGAAAATGCTGCAAATCCAAGACAGCCTAGAGCCATGCCAGATGGACCACCCTTGCCGCCAGCACAGAGAGATTATAAGGAACTCAGTGAACTCAGAAGTGAATGTATCAAGTGCTGGCAAGTCTTTGCTGACATATGCTGACATATGCTGACATATGCTGATTGATCTGATTGTATTCATAGACCAAACATTAGGGCAGCCCATCCCTTGAGTAACGCCCTGGGCAGGTTGCCTGAAATGCGAGTACACCTCCGGCTGCACAGCCTGAGAGAATTGCATTTGGCCTTGGTTTGCTGAATAACAAGGATAACAAGGGAGATGTGTTGGATGGTGTCGGATGGTGTTGGATGGCCAAGACGGCGTAAAACTTCAGGCCAAGAGTTATTCACGAAAGCTAGCAGGGTGGGTGGAACGAAGAGCAAGAGGAGGGGAAGGAGCAGGAGGATGAAAATAATGAGATAATGATGTCACATCATGGTCTTGAATAGTCTGCTGCTGAGGGTGTGAATGAGCCCTGCGCTCGGGAGGAGGCCAGAGGGGCAGAGACGGGGGGAGTTAACTGTGGCCCCTAAATACCTTGCCAAAGCAAGAGGGAATTCAGCCAGCAGAAGCTAGCTTTCCTGAAATGCTACATAAAACATGGTAAAACATCGCTTCACATTGTTTCACCTGTCACTTGATCAGGTCCCTCACACCTCTCAGAACCATGCAAGTCACGAGCTGCGCGCTCACCTCGCTTGCACCAGCTCTTCAAGCACCGATGCAAAGGCTCTGCACAGTGACAGCACATCGACAGCACTTACTCGGGACACAGCGTTCAAGAAAGCATTCCATACCAGCGTAGACCACTCCCACCTACAAACAATGAGAAACATGCTCTACGTCGCAGAACTTTGGTTCCCTGGAACAATTCTGCAAGTTCTAAACTGTATCAAGTGTTCTGTGAGAATTCAAACTTCTCTGAATCTCGGTGATGCAGTGGGGATGCATTTACAGTTGTATTGGATGATATTGATGCATTCTCTCTTGATTCATAGTGCTTCTTCTGCTTGGGTTCTAATGGGCCCCTCAAAAAACTACACTGGCACCAGGACTTCGCAAGGTAGTTGACAGTTGTGTTTCATCTGTTTGCACAAAAGGGGGTTAGGTCCTTTCCCCATAGACTTCACACCCAAACACAATACTGCAAACACGCCGAACTTGGGCGAGGGGCGAGGGCCAAGATGCTGTGAGACACGTGGGAAACAATACAGCGCCAAATGTCAGAGTAAGAAACCGTATAATGTACCTAGACAAGCTCAAGGCTAGCACTTACCCCGTTTTTCATGGTGAACCAGTTCACGGTTTTCTTACACCCAAAACTGGACTGCAGTCCTTGTAAAGTGAACCTGTTTTGGGGTTGTCATGTGTTGTCATATGTTGTCATATGTTGTCATATGTTGTCAATTGGATAATTTAGAAAGACATTTCCAGATCCACATGTTTGCTTTCAAAAGCACGGGGCAAGAGATCAAAGGCCTTAGCAAAGTTTCGAGACATTCGGATACAGGCCTGACCTCGGCAAGCCCCAGCGAGTGCAGTGGGGATCTTCAACCAAAATGTGTTCACAGGCAACAAAAGATTTATCCAAAACAGATTCACCAAGTTGCCAAAACCTTTGTAGGATTGCCGAATCTGTTCCATGCTGGAAAGGGACCTTAGACTTCTCATACCAAACGGAGAAGAATTCAGAGCAACTTAAAGTGCAACTTGAATCGATAGAATCTGAATCGATCTGGGAATGGTTCAAAGGACTCGATGTTATTCGATGTTGAGTACGGTCCAGATCAGTCCAGCACAAGTGGCTTGGGTACCTTTGGGTACCTGGCGTATCTATGTCCGGTGGAGGTTGCATGGCATGCATGAAGCCTCAGCATCTCATGTGGCATTGGCCCTCCCTACGCTTTGCGACACTCTTCTGCAAGAAGCAAACGAATGAAGAATGAATGAAAGCATATGAAAACATATGAAAACATATGAAAACAATGAAAATACATAAGTACTTTTTTATACTTTTTTGACAACTTGCAGTAGCTTGCAGAAAAGAAGCCACCCATCAGTAGACCGAGGACAGCTCCACCAACCTCGTCGCTTTCCAAGTTGCCAAGTTGATCGATTGCCTCGATTACATACCTGCGACTGTACACTCCGGAACTAAGTGCAGTGCTCCACTCAATGCGGCTCGCACTGTACATCCGTCAACTACCCTTGTACCAAGGCTGGTATTACGCCTCAATCGAGAGCAACATTGCACAGGAACTCCTTGGGGAGAGTAACTGAAGAACTTGACAGAGCGTTTAAACGGTTACTCATTCGAATCATTCCAAAATCCGCTTGCACCGAGGGTGCTGAGGCGTTTCTTGTGTGCATGCGTGAACTGGAAGCAATTACAATAGCTATTAAGCTTTAGCTTGCGGGGTCTAGAATCCTGTGTTTTCCACGTTTTTTTTAAGGGACCCGAAGTCGGCTAAGTTGCCAAACTTGGGCTTAACATCGCCCAGCAGAATAGTCCCAACATGGGCCCAACATAGAACATGTATATTTTTTTTGTTGGCTCTCTCTGCATGTAGCTGCGTCTCTCGCTGCGGCAGGTGCTTCCTGCTGAATTCAAAGGTCAGTCATGATTTCATCCATCATGACCGATGTGGTCTCCGAAAAACTGGTTGGCCATGGCTTTACATCGGTTGACCAACTCAGTCGGAGGAATGGTTTCATCGCACTCCGTGCGGATGACATCTTTGTACAAAGCATGCGCGATGGCTTTGCTTTGCAAATGTGTATATATATATTATATATTTATTTATTTATTTATTTTTATTATTGGTTTTATTGGAACTCCGGAGCTAACACTTTGGTGTAGTTGTCGTTTTTTTCGAAAGCGAAGCGACCAGAATATCTTTCGATCAGTTTCGAGACAGTTTTGCTCAGGTCCCAGCATCATTTCTGTCTCCTCTGTGGTCATCCTGCGGGCAAAGTTGAGGATTCTGTACCTGGGCACCCAGAATGCGCACTGCTTACGATTCCTCCGTGTAGATTTGTTGCGTTCAAAGCGGAGAGCACTTCTCTGAAAGGTATGGATTCTCACCAGCTGAAGATTCCTGCATTGGCCCATTGAACAGCCCCTCAGTCAAACAGCCCTGACTTGATTAAACAGTGTCAGGGACTTTGTTCTGTTATAATTGTCAATCAAACTGATGCCTTAACGTGCCAAGATAAATGCTAGCCTTTTCTCTCTATTCCCTTCTGGCAGTTTTACGCAGAGCACTAAAGTAATATATTTGAATATTCCATATGACATGTGTTTTCTGACTCTTTGTGCTCCTTATGCGGTGTCAATGTTCCTATAACGTGCACATGCACTTGATACGTCTTGATACTATGTTGCAAACACGGGAAGTGGTCTGAAAGTTAAAGCTAGAAAGATCAGAAAGATTGAGATTGCTTAGGCACCCTTGCAAAATAGAGCTGCAGTCATCGAAACTTCCATCTGAGTACACACTTTGGTTGTCATGCATAGACTCTGCATAGACTTCATAGCTTCATGCACTTCAGAATATGATACAGTATGTGCAAAAACCTGACAGGAAAGTGAGTCAAACAACTCAGTAAAACAGAATTGAAATTGAAACCTTTTAGACTTTTAGACTTTGGAAATGCAACCGCAGCAAGTGCAGGACAAGAAGCACAACCCATCAAGTTGTAAAAAGTACTCGAAAAAAATGTCCTTTCATCCAGACCTTCCAAAAGTCGCCTGCCGACCTTCTGCACAGTAGTCAAACCCTTACAACTGGACGAATTGAGTTCATAGAAACCTGTATTGCACCCTTCAAACGTGGATCCACTGCAGGATAATTCCAACACTATCGCTGCAAACCCGCAAAGATTTTTTTGCAGATTTGGCACTAAACAAATGTTGGAGGTTCATACAAGAAATTTGCCACATTCAACCAATCGTATCCAATTCCTTCCTTACAGTCGCTCATGCATGACACAGAACCAAGCCTTAGCCCAAGATAAAGCTGTTCAGCAAAATACCTGCACATTGCAGGAACCCTTGTCCTGACATCTCACAGGAAATGATTGTTGCCACCTTAGCCAAGAACACCTATAGTTTTTCAGTTTTGAGAGTTTTTCGAGACCGGAACACGGCATGCATTGTCGAGAATGATCGCAAATGAAAAGATTGAGATGGGCTGAGACATGCTAAGACTAAGATCTGGACATGAGCAGCGATAGCAGCCACACTTCTGAATGATTTTACATCATGGCTCAAGGATCGTGGAAACTCTTCAAGCGACAGGTTCCATGCCACAACTTGGTGCCTTGGGTTGTTGCTGGTTGTTTGTGGGGATTGGTGTTGTAAGTTGTACCTTGTTTTCGCTCTTAGTCTTAATCCTTGATTCTTCGGTTGACTGATTCAGCCTGAGTCTCGTTGTCAATTTACCAATTTTTTTTGCATTCGTTGTCTGAAAATGTGAGGCTTAGGGGGCAGCAAGGACAGGAACTACTTGGTACACGCTTGATAGACGGCCGTGGTGTTTTATGGAAATAGCACCACGCCTGCCATCAAATTTGCGCCTTCTCTTCAATGGGCCGCAAAAAAAAATGTTTTTGTTTATTGCAACGTCCTTTCTCTTCAATTGGTAGTTATATGAAAAAGTTCAAAGCGTAGCATCAAGAGCGTGTTGGAAGTTTGAAGTTGCAATAGAAGAGACGATTTCATCTACACGCAAGAAACAAGAACGTTCTCACCCCCCCTCCCCCGAAATTATATTAAAAATGTATATTGAGTGAAGTTTTTGAAATTTAAATTATAGCAGTATAACAACTCAAAAATTATTCACAAAAAAAACACATAGCAGTCTAAAAGGTCATTTTTAATATTGTTGTTTGCTCCATTTTTCAACAATATCAAAACTTAAATGAAAAATCATAACAGTCAAAGCACGATTACCTCCTCCATTTTTCAAAAGCATAATTACCTCATTCATTTTCTAAAATCATAGCAGTCAATACATAATTACTTCATTCATTTTCAAAAAATCATAGCAGTCAATACATAATTACCTCATTCATTTTCTAAAATCATAGCATTCAATACATAATTGCCTCATTCATTTTCTAAAATCATAGCAGTCAATACATAATTACCTCATTCATTTTCTAAAATCATAGCAGTCAATACATAATTACTTCATTCATTTTCTAAAACCATAGCCGTCAATACATAATTACCTCATTCATTTTCTAAAACCAAAGCAGTCAATACATAATTACCTCATTCATTTTCTAAAACCATAGCAGTCAATACATAATTACCTCATTCATTCCATAAAATCAGAACCACCTACCATTTCCTCTACCTCATTCATTTCATAAAAACCATCACGGTCAATTCATCATACCCTTATTCATTTTCATAAAATTCATCACTACTAACAACCATATCATCATCTCATTCATTTTCATAAATCATAACAACCGACAACCTTTCTACCTCATCCATTTTATAGAAATCAGACCAGTCAAAGACACCATTACGTCATTCAATCCATACCCAAAACAAAACAACCAACAAACCAAGCAAAGAACAACATAAAGAACAAAACAATAGACCACAATAAGTACCAGTAGTACCGCACAAGGCGGTGGCGGAAGTTTCAAAAATAGGAAACCTATAGGAAAGGTTGGTTGTTGTGAATCACGGATGGCAGAGCGAAGCCACTGATGGATCGAAAGGTGATTGATGTCTCTTTCTCCCTCTTTCTCTGACTATCTACCTACCTACCTATCTACCTACCTATGTATCTATCGATCTATCTATCTATCTACCTATCTATCTATCTATCTGTCTATGTATCCATCTATCCATCTTTCTATCCACCTATCTATCTATCTATCTATCTATCTATCTATCTCTTTCATCTGTCTATCTGTCTAGCTGTCTCCCTGTCTATCTATCTATCTATCTATCTGTCTATCTACCTGTCTATCTGTGGTGCAGTGTCATTCAGTGTAATGTAGTGTAGTGTAGTGGAGTGTAGTGGAATTTAGTGTAGTGTAGTGTAATGTAGTGTAGTGTAGTGTAATTTAGTGTCGTGGAGTGTAGTGGAGTGTAGTTGTAGTTGTAGTGTAGTTGGGTGTAGTGTAATGGAATGTCGTGAAGTGTAGTGGAAGGTAGTGCAGTGTAGTGTAATGTAGTGTAGTGGAGTGTAGTGTAGTGTAATGTAGTGTAGTGTAATTTAGTGTAGTGGGGTGTAGTGGAGTGTAGTGGAGTGTAGTGGAGTGTAGTGGAGTGTAGTGGAGTGTAGTTGTGTAGTTGTAGTTGTAGTGTAGTGGAGTGTAGTGTAGTGTAATGTAGTGAAGTGTAGTGAAGTGTAGTGGAAGGTAGTGTGTAGTTTAATGTAGTGTAGTGCAATGTAATGGAGTGTAGTGTAGTGTAATGTAGTGATGTGTAGTGGAAGGTAGTGGTGTAGTGTAACGTAGTGTAGTGTAGTGTAGTGGAGTGTAGTGTACTGTAGTGTAGTGGAAGGTAGTGTAGTGTAGTGTAATGTAGTGTAGTGTAGTGTAGCGTAATGTAGTGTAGTGTAGTGTAATGTAGTGTAGTGGAAGGTAGTGTAGGGTAATGTAGTGTAGTGTAGTGGAATGTAGTGTAGTGTAATGTAGTGTAGTGTAATTGAGCGTAATTGAATGTAATTGAGTGTAGTGTATTGGAGTGTAGTGTATTGGAGTGTAGCGTATTGGAGTGTAGTGTGGTGTAGTGGTGGTTGTAGTTGAAATTGCTACAAAACCCTCACGTTTTGCTCACTTTTGACAAGGTGCACAATCCCTTGCGCCTGCCACGCGAAGCGACATCTGAACGTCCAAAAGTGCTCCGTACCCCTCAGTTTTTTGCACTTTTGACTTCGAAATGTGCTTCGCGCCACAACGGTGTGCACTTTTTCGACATCTCAACTGCCAAAAGTGGTCCGCACCCCTAGTGTTTTGTACATTTTGACTTGGAAATGTGCTTCGCGCCAAAACGGCGTGCACTTTTTCGACATCTCAACTTCCAAAAGTGCTCCGAGCACCAGGTGTTTTGTACATTTTGACTTGCAAACGTGCTTCGCGCCACAACGGCGTGCAATTTTCCACCTCTCATCTGGCCAGCTTTTCGACCCTCCGGAGCCCCAAATCATCGGAAAAATAGAGTGTTTCGCGACTTTCCTACCTTTTCACGCGTCTGCATCTTCTTTCTTCTTACTCTTCTTTCTTCTAATCTTTCTCTTCTCTCTGCCTCTTCCCTGCTCTGCTTTTCATCTGTCCATATTGTCGGAAGTTTGACTTCCAAACTTCCTTCGATAAACCCCTACCCTTTAATGATCCTATTTTAACATTCCATAATTCCAAGAATGTTATTGTTAAAATTGTGTTATTCAATATTCCAAAATGGTAAGTTTGAAAGTAAATGCCTGAATTCCAATGATTTTGATTTGCCGTCGGACTATTCTAATCTCGTTCGTCAACTCTTTTGATAAATCAAGTAAAGGAAGAAAACTGTTATTTTCATCACTACCATCAACAATACCAATTACAGCGTCGTGTTCAAACTCATCGTGTTCGTATTTTATGTCAAAGTGTCTTGCTATTATTTCCGCCATTACTTCAAGTTTCACTTTAATATCTAAATTATCTTCTACTTCTTCATATATCAAAGAACGCAACTCATCTTCCTCTTTCAGTATCATCTTTTCAATGCTGTCTATCTTGAATGGCACACCTTCTCTCATTACACATGGCTATCTAATGACTTTTTTTGGTTTGTTTCCCTTTCTTAATCTGTATGTTGTAATTTTTGGTTGAGTTTTAGTAATTCTATATTTGTACTGTATTCTCTTTAATGCCTCAATATATGGCAATATTTGATTTTCAAATATTCAGGGTATTCCGATTTATAAGACACAATCTTACTCAACGCTTCAACAGGCAAATCCTTCACACAATCCATACTAATTTTCGTAAATACTATTTCTTTCAGTATATATTCAAAGATTGAAATATAGAAAACTTTCAAAAACTACTTTAAAATAAAAAATTAATAAAATAGATACAATTATATGATGAAAAAAGTTATAGACTACTTATTGAGTAATGATTTAGCAGAAATACCAAAAAGAGGAAGAAGAGAATTAAAGTCCATAATAATAGATGATAAAAGATTTAGATACAACAACAGACCAAACCATAATATCTATCTAACGTTTTAACAAAGAAACTATTAACAGTAAAGAAAACTAATGAATACAGAAGTTATGCTATGAAAAAGGCACCAGATGTTGTAAGTAGAGAAAGGGTTAGACAATTACTAACCAAACACGCAATAAGAAACAAGTTTAGGGTCAAAGATATTCAATCAGCATTCAGAAGATATGCCAACTCAATAGTTTTGGAAAACAGACACTTTGAAGGAGAAAGAGGATTGGAAATGATAGCGCGCCAAAAATCAAGATTTTTAGAGTTTTTAAGAAAGAACAGAAGCATGAAACTTAACATAAGAACGGAAGGTTTATTTGAAAAACCTGAAAATGATGACGGAGGAAATGAATCAGGAAGTGAGGAACTTGTATATGCCTTACCATCAACACACTTCAATATCAGTAATGAAGATGAACTGACACAAGCATTAGAAGATAGCGTTTTCCAAATCCAATTACAAATACAAAATTTAGAAGGTTCCACATCTAATTTAAGGTTCAAAAAGATTTTACCAATAACCATTCACTATGATAAATATGACCCAACAAGAGCAGGTAAATATATTGAATTACCATAATGGATTAAACTAAGAAAGGCATGCATCAACATCAAAAACAAATACCAAAAATGTTTTAAATTCTGTGTTCAATCCGTAGTCCATGACAAAATAAGCAAAAATAACCCAGAGGAAATGTTCCACTATAATAAATTAAATGATGATATTTTGAAATGGGATGGTGTAAATTTCCCATCTGGTAACAGAGATATAGACAGATTTGAAGAAAACAATAAATCAATTTCAATCAATGTTTTTGCACCTGATGACTGCCTAAATGATAATAAGATTATCTTACATAGAGGCACTAAAAACAGAAATGCTAAATATGAAATTGATTTGTTAAAAATCTATGATGAAGATAATAACTATCACTATGTTTTAGTAAAAAACAAAAGTAGATTACTTAACTGCCAAAGCAACGCTAATACAAAACAGAAACGCTACTGTCACCATTGCTTAAATCCCTTTCAAACAGAAAAGGCATATAAGAACCATCTTGAAAAAGGTTGTA